TAACCCTAACCCTAACCCTAACCCTAACCCTAACCCTAACCCTAACCCTAACCCTAACCCTAACCCTAACCCTAACCCTAACCCTAACCCTAACCTAAATTAGCAGAAAGCCACATTATCTTATAAAATAGAAGGGTTATGATACCTCAGAAAATATATAGGAGCCTATTAAGAACTTAACAGGCTGCTACTAACTTGCTTAATAGTACTGCTCAAAGATAAGTTAAAATTCTCCTAAAAGATAGGTGGCATCTAATCAATCTCCGCCATCATCTAACTAAAGTTTAGATTCTCAGAAGTTGTAGCCAGCTGTTCAACCTCAGCTGTAGGATTAGGCTACTTAGAAGACTTTTTCTTATCTAAGATCTGCAATAGTTTAGCATTATATTTAGATATTTTGAAACCATGCTCTTTAAGAAACTTTTATTATTTTTAAAGCTGTAAGTGGCAAGCTAGAGACTCAGCTACCTTTTGTTATTTTTCTATTAACTCTTTTTAAATCTTTTCTAAATGCTCCTGTAACTACTAAAGTTCAGGATAAAGAAGTTCTAACTTATTATTAGTTACAGAAAGCTTAAAAGTAATCTTCTTCTCAGCTCTCTTCAGAATATCCCACTCCTTTTTAGTATGAAAGTCCTTCTTATATAAACAACCTTAGCGGGTGCATAATGCATATTTTGAGTAGTGACAAGTTTAGTCTATTATGTAAACTTCACCAGACAACGCACAAAAATTATAAGGAAAAGAAGTGATAAAACTATTTTCAATAATGAACTCTACTTAATGAATGTGACTAGTAACTTGGTTATAATTATAAGGAAGCTTAGGAACACCTTTAAGAATAGTGTTAGTATAATGCTTTAGCATAATGAGTAAATATAGTTAAAAAAATAAGAACACACCTACTAGGGAAGTACTACCTTTTAAATCAAGTTTCAAGGACAAAATACTAAGAGAGGGGGAGGTAATATTACAACACTAACATAGCTGCATTAGCGCAAGATAGATAAGACAGGCAGAAACCTAAGGATTAATGATTACTAGTCAACCCCAGAGTGATCAGGACGCAATCCAGAGAAATACTTAATCTAAACAGATTACTATAAAAAAACATCTCAGTAGTTGCTTACTGAATGGCAATACCAAATTATTATAGAGGATAATTATTGATTACCTAAAAGACACCAGTTACAGCCACCCTATTATATGAAAAACCTACTAGGTGCTATAGCTTGGCAATGGTAGAAGGGTAGATATAATAAATAGTAACACAATATCATGGATATCTACTAATATACCATCCTACCATCTACTATATCAACCACCAGGAGGAACTACAGATATATAAGGACACTTATTAATATTATATCTAGCACTCTTAGCTTAGTTCCTCGCGTTCAATATAAATCATTCACTTGAGTATAAAGATCACTAGTCTGATTTATTAGTTACTCTCTACTATTAAGTATATATACTTAATAGGCCTTGCTTCTATCTCTACTGTTATTATTCTTACATTACCTTTAGATTGTCCTTGACCCCGGAGGGTTATTGTATCACTGCATCATTAGGCTACCTGGTCAGTAGGCCTCAGGCAAAGTATAAGCTATAGGTCCAGGGACCTTAGCGACCCCATTCCCAAAGTAGTTGACTAGCAGAGAACAGCAGAGACGGATCCCAGGGTGTGACACCTAGATAGATCTAGAAGATTCCAGAATCACTAGACTAGTATAAGTTAAATATATTTTTTCACCTTTATAATATATATATATATATATCTATATCTACTAATAGAAGGCTACGCTAGATCTAGATAAGATTAATATATATATTTACTAGGCCTAGTCATACTAGATTAACTAGCTGAATCATCTAGCCTAGTCAAATCGAATCGTCTGGCCTAGTCAGATTGAATCACCTTGCCTAGCCATGCCGAATCGACTAGCCTAGTCAGATCGAATCACCTCGCCTAGCCATGCCGAATCGACTAGCCTAGTCAGATCGAATCACCTAGCCTAGTCAGATCGAATCACCCGGCCTAGTCAAGCCGAATCGACTAGCCTAGCCAGGCTGAATCGCCTAGCCTAGCCAGGCCGAATCACCTAGCCTAGTCAGATCAAATCAACTGGCCTAGTCAGATTGAATTGACTGGCCTAGTCAGATTGAATTGACTGGCCTAGTCAGATCAAATCAACTAGCCTAGTCAGGTCGAATCACTAGGCCTAGACCCCCTGCGCAGGCACCTCTTGAAGCCAAACCACCTAGCCTAGCTATGCTGAATAGTGAATCACCTAGCCTAGCCATGCCAAATCAACTACCCTAGACCCCCTGCACAGGCGCCTCTTGAAGCTAAACTACCTAGCCTAGTTAGATCAAGTTATCTAGCCTAGGCCTACTTACTAGATTTATCTTACCTCTCTCCTACTTTCTAAATATATATATTCCTCTCATACCTTACCTTTACCTAGTAGACTAAAATATATATATATCTACTATCCCTACTAGATTAATAGTAGTAACTAGTTCTTATTACTATCTAGCTAGCTAGGCCCCTAGTCTAAGCCCTCTCTAATATATAGCTCTACTTTAGAAATATTCACAAAATATTCACTTCTAAGAATTTTTAAAAATTCTATACTAAATATTACTAAGCATGCTATATATCACTAGACTAGTAGAAATTAGGCCTATCTACTAAAAATAATTATAATTAGTCAGCAGGTAATAAATTTTAAACTATCTTTTTAGAATTTTTAAAAAATTAGGAATTATACTTACCTAATTAGTCTATTATTATTCTATAGCTAAAAGTATCTACTATTCACTAAAAATAATTATAATTAGTTATCTAGTACTAGACCCCTAGTAAATACTAAGAATTAATTTTTCTTCTAGTTTCTGCCTGAATTCTTAGGCCCTACTAGCCTACTAGATGCCTCAGGCACTAATCCATACTAGATGGTGGCCTAAAAGGGTATAGGCTTCCCGCAGTGGTCTTGGCAGACCCCAACAAAAAGTTTTGACCTGACCCCTACCCCCTAGTTTGACCACCTTCCCTGTGATTAATCTAGAATCTAATAGTAGAATCTAATAGATTAGCTAGTTAGAATCATAAATCATTTTAAATCATTCAAAAATATTAAGATTTGACTAGGTTGGGGGGTAGGTATGAGTTACCCTGCTACCCTCCCCCCCTGCCAACCCTAGGATTTGTATGATACCCTCCCCTAGGCATGAGACATTATAGTGTTAGGGTTTTGGACGCAGAGAGAACGAATTGAGACACCGGGTCTAGGGCAGTTTCCAAATGGCGACAGCTGATGCTCTCTGCAACGCAAGCAGAGGGACAGCTGGACCTTGCGTGTGAGATCTGTGAGATCTCCCGTTATTTAGTGTACGACTGTCAGTGCTACAGACTATCCCGTCTTCGTCAGGTATCTCACTCTCTCTCTGCGGCTTCGAACAGGGGGGTAGCTCGATGTTTGTCGTGTTCCATTCTCCTCACTATCGCCTACGACTATCAATACTACGGATCGCTCCCTCTCCCTGTCCTCGCAACTTCTCCCACCCTGCTCTGGAACAGGGGAAAAGCTAGGCTTTGTACGTTGGGTCGCATTAGCTATTGTATGCAAGTACAAACATCACTGTGATTGTCATTTTGGTTCATAGCCTGACCCCTCGGCTTACGTTAATTTACCACTTGACGAAAATAGAAATTCGCACACCTCGCATAATGAACTAGGCTCCCGAGGGCCAAAGGGTCTCTAAACTATTTATCAAAATTGTTAATCCAGGCTCCCTTTGATCCAGACTCCCTGACCGGTGACGGTGGCCCTCTCAGAGATGGGATCCTTGAGAGAACCCATGATCTCAAATGTATCGCCAGCGTGGTTTACAAACAAGAGGCGTAGATCCCCATCGCCGATATATGATGGCGCTCCCTCGGTGTCAATGACGTAGGTGCCAACAAGTTCATGGAAATTCTCATATTTGAGCAAACATTGATCCGACTGCCATCTTTCAAAGCTTTGGTCGAAGTTACCGCGAAACTTAAGGCGGCTTTCAAGGTCGAGGAGACTGAAGTCGCAATCAAAGCTTTTGCCCTCACCGGAAATTTCACCTGTCCCAGACATCTAGCTAAAAAATTAGAACAAAGAAAAGAAGGAAAGAAGAAAACAAGAGAAAAAAGAAGAGAACCGTGGTGTTTAGGGATGTCTTACTTTTGTACTCAGAATTGATGTTTCCTGAGATATTAGAGGTAAGAGTTGGATGGATTGTTTGTGTCCCGTTCACTTGTCTTGGTTGCCGTCTTCCGGATAATTGCTGTAACCTGCCCACATATTTATAGCCGAACCCATGGCCTATGGGACAGCGAGTATGAGTGCAAGTGGCGGTGGTTCCAATAAACGTTTATGAAGTTGGCTGAAGTTGGCATACTCATCAATGATGTCAATGTATGAAATCTATTCTACTGGGAAGCACTTGTATGACTTCATAACCGAACCCCAGTACTATCATAGAATTGTTTCTAGACCTAAAGATCTTCTCATACCATGTACTGATGGCTGCTTGCGTAAGGATGTAAGGATTTTAGCATTCATACATATTTGTCAGTCATCTGTACTGGTCGCCAGTCATCCATATCTCTGTTTCGGCACGGCCCCCGGAACTAGAAAGACGAATTTTAGCAACCTACGAGCCGGAGAATAATATTAAAGTAATTTTCAACAGGATAATGCGGAATCCATATACCGGGAAAAGCGCAATTGTAGTTTTGAATCTAAGGGAATAAGGGTCCAGAATTTGCCGTGACATTCGCCCACTGTACAAGGACCTGCATAAAAAGAAGCTTTTTGTGCTCTATCCAGAGTTCTCTCCAGAAAATGGGTCAGAAGTAGACTCGAGGCGATTTAGCAAATGTATTACATCTTCCTGGTGGCCCACTCTAGATCACCATAGACAATGCCAAACATACGCACAGGTTATTGATAGCGTGGGCAATAATAATTAGAAGATTGTTCACTGCCAGCCTGGGCGGGTTACTATTTTCCCAATACATACTGAGCATGCATGCATGGCCATCTAGAAACTAAATTATCAATCGGCTCAAATTAGAGTGCAACGCAACCTGACTATCATAGCTATTTTGAATAAAGGCAGAACCACTCCGTCTCTTACGCTGTTCTGCTCTCTGGGTCGCTTTCCCTTCGCGTTGACTCACGTGGTGTGAGCTGATCGGTCACTTCGAACATGAATGTCTTGTCTGACCCCAGACGCTTTGTGTTGGGGAGCGGCACCCGTTGCAAGGGGGGACCACTACCAGGCCGCGTTTAGTTCCCGTTCAGGTGTTCGACAGTCTAGGAAGTTAGCCTACTGATTAATTATGAGTGGGGCCGTAACGTCCCCATAGAAGTGACATCCGCCTCGGACCGACTGGACGGTATTGGCCAGCGGGCCTAGCCGCTACAGAACCTTACCTTGCCACAAGATCATCATAGACTCAGCTATGTTACAAAATACAGTTATTGGTGACCTCACGCAGTCAAGAGGGCGAGGAAACAGTAGTTTGGCCATAACGGCTGTCGCTGCGGATTTAGACCGTAGCGTCAGATAGGGCCCATTCGCGCTTCCAGGTAGGGAGGCAATGAGTCTGTATTTCTATGGTTCTATATACAGAGGGAAGGTGGGAGGGACTAAATTGAATCTTGACTGCATGAGCAATGACGAGATAGCTACAGAGGTAAACAACTGACTCTCGCGAGGCAGTTGTGCGAGGGAAGCCCCTCCCTCAGTAATGTCGGTGTAATATCACGTGAGGCGACCCCAATAAAACACCATGTATGTGTTGTCATATAAATGTCCCTATGAATGGATCGAAGGTGTCATTTGGTAATGACAAGTACCTCACTAAGCCTACTCAGGATATAATCACATGAGTTGCCCCATTTGGCGGCAATTTGATTCTACCCTGCTACGGTCAAAATATATGAAGCCTATGCAGGTAGCATGAAGGCTCTATTGCCATTTTCGTACCTATATTCAAGGTCTGGCCGTAGGATGGTTAATAATTAGCGAAATGAGGGCCGAAGCAAGGTCCTAAGAGCTCTACAGATATCCCTGCTAAATGAAGACTCATAGAAGGGGAATGAATGTGAATGGAAAGGAGTGAATAACGTAATTCCCAGGTGAGCCGCCCACCCTGGCGAGCCGCCCATCTCTGTATTCCATATAAAATGGCACTTGTCAAGGCTTAGATATCTCTACCACAGTCACATATGCTATTGTCTAAGTAAGATATTTAGAATGTATATAGTCTGAAGTATGTAAATACTCTTTCTTAGGATGCTAAAATATTGTTCTCTCTCTCAATGTCTAGAAGTTAAAATTACCAAAATTACAGGCGTATTTTATGTTAGCTAAATGTATACATACGCAAGGAGGCTATAGACTATAAGTATATGACTATAATATACCTCATGCCTAGATTTGGCCCCTGTAGATGCGTGGTTGTTGAGATATCAAAGTCTTGAAGGGTGCCATTTTATATGGAATACAGAGATGGGCACTCAATATGTCTTAACCTTTGCTCACTTCTGATCACTATCTAATACTACCCTCTCATATACAGATGTAAGTGGAGCTGTGTTGTCACGAAAACACGAAAGTGGCTTGGCTTGCTTGTTCCATTCTCCCCCGTACTTTTAATCGTCACTATTCTTGCATCCGACCCCGTATATTGCCGTACTGGGAAAGAGGGTAGTCTAGCTGTTTCTGTTTTTTGCTCCAACGCGCCAACGCCCCCGAGTGCTTCAACGACCTTGCGTATCTGTTAGCCACGTAAAATAGAGAGAATATAGACATACTGTCTTTATCAGACTATCATTTCCTGTCTTATAAGCACTACTCTCCCACCACATGCCACCTCCGAGCCCTTTGAGCCTAATGTATTCCGCTTTCCACTTCGAAACCAGAGGACTATCGTAGCTGATCAAGGTCTGTTCTGATTCTTAGCTGTAGCTTGCTATTATGCTGTCGTCTGTGTGTCCTTCGGCTCCTGGCAGCGGCAGAGCCTTGTGGTCCCAGACACCATCCTCCCAGCTGCCTTCACCGATGCCGGAAAAGGGTTTACCAGGGCCGGCTGTATTGTGAATGCCCGACCATAAAGAGGCATACCCAGTACGATTTTGCTTGCTATGACTCCGCGATTAAGATAATTCTCGACAGCCTCCTCGGTATTGAATGGCGTGGATTGCTGGTTAGAGCTGCTCTTGAATATATTTGCCTGATGTCCAGTGCACTCCGAAAATGTACTCCCTGCGTAATCGTAAGCCATAAGGTTCCAGAAGTCCAAATAGGGGTCCATGTCTTTAAGATGAAAAGTACTGATCTTTTGCGGATCTAGATACGAGTTAGAAACACTCCCTGCTTTCCATGCCATATCACTTCGGAACACGTCTTGTCACCTACCAGCCGGGGACGCCACTGTAAGAAGGAACTTTTTCCCAGCAGCATGCTTCGCGCCATAATTGTCAAGGGCCTGCTTAAGAATTAAACCGGGAGCGTGGCAGGAGAAAGGAGGAGAAACGTACGGCCCTTAGCTCCCGTAAAAGGAGAGCAAAATCACTCGCTTCTCCATCATTTTCACGATACTACAGTGGAATCGTTCCATTAGTCCACGTAACGCGGAGAGGAAAGAGTGCTGTAACTTGATACTCCCCCCTCACATAAATGTGAATCCATGAAAGCGGTATGCGGTGATTAATTTGTCCTCTTTGCTGATGCCATATTCAGTGCCAACAGTGACTGCCTCTTGGCCAGTTGACAAATGACAAAATCCTCGAATCTTCCTTTGTTTGTAAAGATTGTCAGCAGCTAACTTCATTCGTCTGTGAGTAGCTCAGCTACAGAGCGTCAATAGTCCTAAAGGCAGATTTTACCTTATCGTAAGCATATCTTGGTACATGTTCTTCAGCTCCCTTTTTGTGGTTCCTACTGTGTATTGGGTTGGGGGGTGGGGGTTGTTGGTTTTTGGTCAAAACGATACGTCTCGAAGTCGTCTTCTGGTATTGGACGTCAAAGGGCTTGTCATCTTCCTTTCATGAGCTTTAGCGCTCGCCTCATTCAAACGATTCGATTGTTCACGCTTACAGTAGGTACGTTTCGCACATTGACAGCTTGTACCAGGAAGCGACGTTTTGCGCAGAATAGCTTCGAGCTAACCCAAGGTAATGACACCTTGAGCCTCAAGTTTCTTGAAAGCATGGCGGCTAATTAATGCTTCAGTCTAGAGAAAGTGAGTTGCCTGGTGGTATCTAAGCGGGCTGATAGGTGCAGAGTAGACACTTTACTGTCATGAGCTTGGAATGAAAGATTTCAAAGCAACATATAATACGAGAGGTAGCGAGAGGCTGGATTTCTCGACATGAGGTGATGTGGCACGACAGCTTCAGTGACGCAATCCTGAACTCTGAGCTCGGTTTCCTCCGAGAACAGCTACATAGTAGGTAGTAAGCTCTGAAGCCCGGCCTACAAGCCAATAGGACCCTGTACGGTTGCTGTTCGGCTGGGATCCATGGTGGCCAGATCATCTATGATCAACAGGTACCAGCAGATCTTTTCCGCAAATTACATAGTTACGCCTTTCACTATGTAGCTTACATAATCGCATTGAAGTTTCGCAAACGGGAAAGCTTTTGTGCTTAACGGAATCAGACCCACCCACACTCTCTATTAAGAACCTGTGATTGCAAACCTCCAATTTGGGCATCCAACGATTCGGTATGGATCTGGTCACTTTACCCTCAAATCCAGGAACATCAAAAGCTGGGTGCATCATCTTGAACGATGCAATACGCTTGTTCCAAGTATTTTTCTCCTATATATCAATAACCAATTGCTAGAAGTTCTTGCTAACAATCTGTTCATGGGGAATAGTGGCTGGGGGCCGTGGCGAAACAGAGATATGGATAACTGCCGACCTGTACAGATAATTGACGAATACGTATGAACGCTACAATCATTACATCCACGCAAACAGCCATCAGTACCTCATATGAGAATATCCCTAGATCTAGAAACAATTCTATGATAGTACCGGGGTGGCAAAAAGCAGTAATGAAGTCATGCAAGTGCTGCCCAGTAGAATAGATTTCATACATTGACATCACTGATGAGTATGCCAACTTCATAATGTTTGTTGAACCCCCACCACTCGCAGTCATACTCGCTGTTCCACAGGGCATGAGTTCGGCTATAAATACGTGGACAGATCACAGCATTTACGTCGAAAGACAGCAACCAGAGACAAGTGAACGAAAAACAAGCAATCCATCCAACTCTTTTACCTCTAATATCCCAGGAAACATCAGTTCTCAGCACAAAAGTAAGACATATCTAAACAACACTGTTCTCTTCTTTCTTCTTTTTTTCTTTTCTCCTTTTCTTGGAGTTTTTCTGATTTTCTAGCTAGATGTCGGAGACAGGTGAAATTTCCGGTGCGGGCAAAAACTTTGATTGCTACTTCAAACTCCTCGAAGAACCTGAGAGCCGTGTTGAGTTTCGCGGTAACTTCGACCAAAGCGTTGAAAACTGGCAGTCGGACGACGCTTGGCTCAAATATCGCAATGTCCGTGACCTTGTTGGCGCCTACGACATTGACACTGAAGACGAAGAATCGCCATCATACATCGGCGCTGATGATTTAAGACTTTCGTTTGAAAACCAGGAAGGCGAGCAATTTGAGATCATTGGTACTCTCAAGAATTCCATCTCTGAGAGAACTACCGTCACTGGTCAGGGAGTCTGGATCACACAAGTTTGATAAATAGTTTAAGAGACCCTTTGGCTCTGGGGAGCTTAGTTCATTTTGCAAAGCAGATAGTGCGGACAGATGAATTTCAGGATATCGTGTGTAATTGCGCTTGTAGCCCCATCCAATATCATATAACTCTCAGATTCGAGCACGAAGAGTAGGTGTGAGCTCCCAATTTTAGGTTTCAACTGCATAACGGCGAAGAAGTTCCGCATTATGGACTCACGTGTCTTCCCTGCCTGACATGGTAGGATTGCCTCCACGCGCATAGAGAGCAACATACCGGCTAGAGGGTTACTGATGATTAATATCTATTGCCACTGGCGAAATACACCTTGAACGCTCAGCGTCTTACAGCCATTGAGTGCTCATTGAGTGCTCGAACGAGATGCGCATACTGTGTAGACAGTCCAGCGAAAACTAACTTGGTTGTATTGGGTGGTCGGGACGGCCAAACAATCTAGGAAGTTAGCCTACAGATTAATGGGGGTATAAGTGGGGTCCGTACGTTCCAATAGAAGTGACGTCAGCCTCGGGCCGACTCGACAGCATCTGCCAGCGGGCCTGGCCGCTAGTCATATTTATCTAGTAACTCCCTAACCTTATCCTAAATTTTTACCAGTTTTTACTTATTAAGTAATATACTATTTTGTGTATTTTACAGTAAAGCTTCTCTAGGAGTGAGTTAGCAATATATTGCACTTGTGAGCAAGCATTTTGTAGCAGGGTGTCCCGCACCCTTGTGACCTCTAGATCCCGACACCCCAGGACATTTTTCCCAGTATCTGATCCAGTCTTCTCTTCAGCACTGGAAGTCTTCAGTACTGTATCTATTGCAGATATGGCTGGCGTATCAATATAAAGTGATCACATTTCAGTCTCAATGACCACCTGAGTATTGATTTGCCTGTAGGCAGACGGCATGAAAAGGAAGGGTGGCATGTGTTGTAGGGAAAGTTCAAGGGTGAGTCAATGGAAGACCACCGACTGGAAGACAGGAGGAAAGACCAAGATCCCTAGACGCCGAGAAAAAGCAAGGGGTGCGAATACGAATATTAAAGGTAGCAAGTCGAAGAAGGAAGGAAAGGAAAGCAGCAGCGCAGTAATCAAACGAGAATTATCACATGATATCATCCAGATGGGTGAGCCCTCATCAGCACAGCTGGAGTGAGCCCTAATCACCGCTGTGCTAAAGAAGCTGGAACTCAGCCAGTAGAAGTCTCTCGGCTGCTTTGTTTAAGTCTGAGTCTGAGTTGATCCTGGGTAGTGGCCCCATCACTTCCCGTATCCTTTGGCCAATCCTCACCCAGTAAACTTTTATCATTTGCTCTTTTTGGGTTTGGGTCTACGTAGCGCTCAGGCTGTAGTTTCCATTCGGAGAACGTTCCGCGGCGGTCTGATCCATAGTGGTACATGTGGCATTCGATGAGCTTCGCCCGGTCGTCAGTCAATTGCTCCATGCTGGCTGTTCTCTACGGTATGATATATCTGAAGACCGACGTCTGGGTTCATGATCATCCGTGTGAATAGTCAAGAAGCAAAACAGACCAGCAAGAGGGCACTGAAGAGCTTATGTGATGGATACTATGATTTTGTAGATTCATGATGCAATTGCTGACAGGCCGCCATCCCAAGCCCCAGGGAAAAGCATGGCCATGACTGGCGCGTAAATGAATGATCTTCAAGCGGCTTTCCTATTCGCGATGTGAATTCCTCTAACTTCTATTTAGAGGGTTTTTCTATCAAGGTCCAAGTGCGTGTTTGATGACTAACACAGCTTCACAGGTACTGAGCTCTGCTTGGCTGAGGATGAGAATGTGCGTATTGAGGAACTGCTAGGGTCATTTTGGATGAGATCGCGGGTGTCCCTAGGGCAGTTGATACAATAGGGTTAGCAAGTATATAATATGTATCAGACAAAATAGTCACTGTTTCAGTGGTTCATTCCAGCGAAGCTTGCATTTTCCGCCAGCCATGACTAAGTTAATGATTGAAGTTGGTAATATTAGAAGGCAACTATTAAGCTCCTGATCTCTAAAGCCAAAATCTGCATCTCTGCTAGCCTGAATAGCTGCCTTTAGTATAACTCCTATGTCCCCTACTTCCTCAGGGAGGATCTGCAAACCCGCAAGGCACTGAAGAGAGTGAGATGCTTAGTAGCTGTCAAAGAGAAGCACTTAGGAAGCTCGCCGTCACTTCATAAGATATTGGGGGCCTAAATATATGCGTGAGATGTGAAAGGTGGCCAACAGATCAGCCAGCTATAAACTTGTGTGCCTGGGATATATGTACGCCTAAGCAGTGCGGAGATATAGCCATACTGATCCGAGCGTTCTCCGGATCTAGGCCTGCGCGCCCAGGTCCTGTCAACGCGCGGGGTATGAGTGTCGAACGCCAGTAACTGAGCGCTGTCTCCTGACCAATTTGACCTGGTATGGGAGTTTCAGCCTCTACGGCTTGCGTTCGTCAGCTTAGTGATATGGGAACACTCTTTACATCTGAGCTCTGTCTGAAATTGAAGGACAGGCAGCGGAGATGAATCAGGTGAAGGGAAAGTCACCACTTCTGAGATGGTCAACTAAAGACAAGCCCTCCAGCTGCTTCTCGGCTGCAGAGATTTCAGCCCTGCGTTGAACACCATAGAAGTGGCAAGCATGGCGCTTCAAATGGGCACGAAGATAAGATGGTGGGATTGCATAAGCACACTACTTGTGGACGAGGATTCGGTATTCCCTAATATACAGAAATTGGTCCTTCTGCTACCGTAATTGAATGTCAGACAAGCCCTTGCGAAACTAGGTGATGTAGTATAACAAGACGATAGAGTGAAGACATTAGCTAGAGGAGACTATAATGGAATATATAAGACAATACGCTACAAACGCCGAGATGCAAACACAGAGTGAAAGAAAGCATTCAGTACCCTCGGATTACCCCTCCCAGTTTACAACTGAACTTCCATATGTCTTACGTAGGTTACGGTACATGCAAACTATTCCCCCACGCCGGGCAGCGTATCCAAAGTTGGCCAGTGAGGTTTCCGGATTCCACTTCTCACCGACGCAAGCATGCTGACACTCTGTTCGAAGGACTCCAATAGCCCATCGTTGGTCTGCGGCGTCCGGTCCTGCAACGACGAACCGGTTAACCCAAACAAAAATCTGAACTCGCGATTCAATGATCCGGCCATTGACTCCCCCACACCGGACTCCCCACCGGGCCCCCGGTAGCTTGACGACATTGAACTCAGGCTGGGCGCCTGCATCGTCATAGTGAGGTTGCTGCGGCTTAAGATAGGGAAAAATACGCCATCACAAGCGAAGAACGCTGGCCCTTCAGGTAAATAAACATCCAATTTCCGAAGTGTGCCAGTCCCCGGTGGTTCCCCAATATTGTGGGTCGACAGCTGGACTGGCTGCATTGTAGGTGAAACACTCCATACATCGAAAATACGGCGCAAGATCTATGTAGCCCCATCCAGCGCATCGAGTGACGCTTTTCCATTTATCAACGTTCGACTTAGAACTATAGTGGTATATCATGGCATTGAGTGACGTAGAGCCCCCAGTGATCTTGCCACGAGGTCAATACAGGCTGCGATAAGTGGGTTAGGCTGCTCGACGGTGTAATAGTTCCAATCGTGCTTAGTATAGAACAGTTTAGAGCATAGCAACGGCGCACCTTAGCCTCTCTGACTGCGGTATCGTCTCCACCAGCCTCTAGAAGCAGAACGGACACATGCGGATCCTCGGAGAGCTTGCTGGCCAGAACGCAACCGCCGCACCTCCGCCCACGATGACTACTTCTTGTCAGTGGCTTGGCGTACATGGAACTTAGAGGACGTTTAATGCCCACCATAGTCATACCCCTTAGGCGTGCGTTGGGCTGCTGCATATGTTACGGGCGGCCCAGCCGCCAACTATGGGGGTGCACAACCGTACGGATTATGCAATGAATTCTGGTGACGCTGAGCCATGACTACAGATACGATCTAAAGGATCGGGCAGACTTGGTCTGGGGTTCGACGCACTCCGTTGATTAGATATGTACAGCCCCCTATCACCTTAAGAGCCCAGGCATTAAATAGGCTGAATCTACGTAAGTTGGGGTAATGGTGGTCCTGGAGAAACCTTAGTTTACATGTAAACTCTATTACCCCGTATTTCTCCGCATCAGACGGGATCATATCCAAGTTCACAATTAGTGGAACTACCACTACCAGCAGTGGATATACCAGTGAAGATACTCACAGAGATTCTAGCTTGTAACACTCAGGCTCATAACTGAACTGCACCTTAAGGTTTTTGGGATCTCAAGAACTAATCATGTCTCAGAGGTAAAACATGAGGCAAGCCTTTAGGCACAACGGGCCGCTGTATCAATGGGTTACACGATCTCCCAAAGCAGTCGGCTCACCACCAAACGCGAACTGCCGATATTACAGGGATTATTGTTCATCTTGAACTGAAATGCACATAGTATTATTATAAAAAGTAGTCCCCTTTTATCCGAGACGGAGTTTACATTGTAGTCCTCTTTTAACCGAGAGTGATTATATTTGTTGGTCATTGCCTTCTAGCGATGTCCCTAATGGTCTAAAGAGACGTTTATGAACTACTCTTTTCTATATCTAGAATCGTGACGACAACCCTCTATCAATTTATAAACTCAGTGGTTGTTCTTTGATCATTATCGTCGTAGGGATGTCCACTCTAATATTCTTCTATCGAAAATCACTAACCTCACTTTTCCCTTGAAGGCTTGCGTGTCATGTTCAGTAAGATGAGTTTCTCGGTTCTCTTAGGGGGAATGTTATTCCTCGGCCAGCTTGCCACGGCGCTAAACAATAGCCTGGCCGTGACACCTCAGATGGGATGGAGTACGTTTTCTGCTGTGTTGAGAGATATATTTATTTGCATACAAACCGGAAGATTTCGGCATGCTGTAAGATTAACGCTTACGCCTATTCCGCCTACAGATGACTGGAATGCTTTTGGTTGCGGCCTCAGCCAGAGTCTGATCCTCTCTACTGCACGTGTTATTAAACACACTGGCCTGAAGGATCTGGGTTATCACTACATTATTTTGGATGATTGTTGGTCTTCTAGTCGTGGATCGAATGGGGTTCTCATTCCAGATGCCACCAAGTTCCCAAATGGAATGAACTATCTGGGCGAGCAACTTCATGCCGACGGCTTTGGCTTTGGTATCTATTCCAGCGCCGGAACAAAGACGGTAAGAAACACTCCCTCCCAGAAGTGGCTTTTAGATATATTGTTCTTGTCTCTTCAAATATGACAGTAAAAGTTACTCATTCATCTGCGCGAAAAGTGTGCAGGATACCCCGGCAGTTTAGGTTATGAAACAATCGACGCGCAAACTTTCGCCAGATGGGGGGTGGATTATCTGAAATATGACAATTGCTACAATGAGGGTAAGGCTGGAACTCAGGCAGCAAGTTCCGCTCGGTAAGAAGAACTTCTCCTTTCTCGAATTTCGTTAAAAAGCGATCTGAAAGTACTTTCTGATACATTGAGTCTACTATGCAGGTACGCAGCTATGGAACGGGCACTCGCAGCAACTGGTCGTAACATCCTCTATTCCATCTGTAATTGGGGTCAAGACCAGCCCTGGATCTGGGGCCCGTCCGTGGGTAATTCCTGGAGGATCACGGGCGATATCTCCGATAACTTTAATAGAGATTCCTCAGCATGTCAAGTGTAAGCAGCTCTGCCCTTCTGGCTTGCTCGTGCCCCCCGGTCTAATCTGAATATATAGCCCAAATTACGGTGGATATGATTGTTCTGTGATCAAGATCGTGTCAATGCAAGCTGCGATCTCATCCTATTCTGCCAAAGGCGGCTGGAACGACATGGATATGCTGGAGGTAGGCAACGGGGGGATGTCTGATTCTGAATATGTTGCACATTTTAGCATGTGTATGACACCCCGGTCCTATGTCGATCTGTCGAGTTTTTGCAGTTTTACTAATTTTTTTCTTTTCCTTGTTCAAGGGGCCGTCTCGAAAAGTCCACTAATTATGGGAAACGACATGTCTAAGTTAACGCCGAGCGACTATTCCATCCTTGCTAATCAGGCAATTATTGCTGTCAATCAAGATCCACTGGGAGTTGCAGCGACCTACCGTTGGACGCGCAATAAAGTTCAGCTGTGGAGTGGCCCACTGGCATCTACCACTGGAAGCTCAATTAACGATATAGTTTTCGTTTTACTTAACACTGGAGGCTCTAGCACGACAGTATCGGCCACACTTTCCGACGTCTTTGGTTCTTCGAATGTCCCTGCATCTCAGTTCGAAATCAGGGATTTGTGGGCTTCAAGGCTAAGTGACAGCCAGGCACGGACTATTCTCAGTGACGGTGCTTCTACACATCCTTCCTGGCTTTATAACGCAACTGCCCAAAGCTACTCCACGGGTCTCTCAAAGGGAGATTCTATGCTGCTTGGAGCGGTTGTTGGCACGGTTTCAGGAGCTACCGGGACTATTTCTCAGTCTGTCCCCTCGGTTGGATGTAGAGTTTTTAGACTTCGTGCCGTCTCAGGCACAGGCACAACGACATCATCCGATCCGTCTACGACAACTACTACCTCTACCCAGCCTCAACAGACGCAATGGGGACAATGTGGTGGTCAAGGTTGGACTGGACCTACTCAATGTGTCCCACCTTCCAGTTGTCAAGTGCAGAACCGTAAGTTTATGAACAGTTACAAAATTGAAATCACCTCCAATACTAACAATCTTCTACCTTCTCTCAGAGTGGTACTCACAGTGTCTTTGATCAAACGATAAATAGTTGCAGCGGTTGGTGAACTAGCCTGTTACCTAGGCTTCTCAACGACTGTTTATGGATTGTGGGTTAAACACTGTTATATTTGAGGATCTTTCGCGGGAGGGGGTAGCGAGGGTCTCCATAGTGTCGCTTTCATAATATCAGGATTCGACCTAAAGATCGTTGAACATGTAAAAGATAAATTTCTTGACCTCCTTTCTGGTCTTGCATTGCATCTAATTTATTTAGCAAGCTGTAATTGGAGTTATCTATCCACTGAAGAGCTGGCGCACGAGGTGCACTTGCACCGGATAGGCGCCGAGGACACGAGAATCCCCCGGAACTATTCAAACGGATTAGCCATTTGGCCCCACTGTAAAACACCCGCTGCTAATGAAGTGGAATCGAGATCAATGGGGGATTTTGGAGACCGGGAAGTACCTCGTCAACGGCCTGAGAGGCCTTGGTCTCGAGTTTCGCCTAATTATTCTTTCTTCCACAGAGCTCTCACCTGCGTGGCATGACGCTATATTTACGCTGCAGCCCCTTACTAAAAATAAGGAAGGACTTGTTAAACCCTATGGACAGAATCATGCAGTCCGTTTGAGATACGGAGCTTTTTTGGAGATGAACCGTGTCATCAGCGCTGAATGCCGCCTGTGAATCTGGCGCAGTGCGTCAAGATGCTTGCCTGTCTCGCAGGAGGGGATGATAGGTGCACTGAAGCTGGCTTTAGGCAGACAGGTACGACTGGATGCAACGTTGCCCGGAGGCGCAGATGAGTGTCTCGCACTTAATGGCAGGGTTATTGGCAATTTTAAGATGCTAGTTTACACTGGTGAGTTAAAAGATATTAGTCATTATTATTTGCAGGCAAGTCTTTAAAGTAGATTAAAGTCTAAGCAAAGACCTTCAAGTAGGTGTGGATGGTATTGCAGATAAATCTATCCTCCATAACACCTTCATTACGCATTAGAAAGATAATGAAAAAGGTATATTAAATCTAGCTATAGTTAGATTTATACTTACTAGTATATAGGTTTAAAAGCTTATATACTTTATCCTTATAAATCTAAAATAAAGAGAATTTTTTTAGTGAATCTAAGATATAAATAATAGTAATTTATTACTCCTTCTTCTAGATTATAAAATATAGTAGAATTTAATATATCTAATATTAAAGTATACCTATTAATTATATAAACTAAGATATTAATTTATTAGTACTTTTTAAGAGAAGGATATCTCTTCTTTTAGTCTTACAGTTTACCTAAGAAAAATAGTAATATATTAAGTACCTCCTTAAGCTTCTTTATAATTTCTATATCTATATAACTATACTCTTAGAATATACTAGAGCTATAGTATATAAAGTCTTTAGTATCTATAATAGTCTCTTTAATTATCTTAAAGATATAATATTATAACTTTAGAATAAGAGATAGCTCTAGAAATAATAACTATATAATACTCTATATAC